ACCACCACCCAGGCCACCACCACCAGCCACCCAGACCACACCACCACCACCAGCCACCCAGACCACCACCACCAGCCACCCAGGCCACCACCACCAGCCACCCAGACCACCACCAGCCACCCAGACCACACCACCACCACCACCACCAGCCACCCAGACCACCACCACACCACCACCACCAGCCACCCAGACCACACCACCACCACCAGCCACCCAGACCACACCACCACCACCAGCCACCCAGGCCACCACCACCAGCCACCCAGACCACACCACCACCAGCCACCCAGGCCACCACCACCAGACCACCACACCACCACCAGCCACCCAGGCCACCACACCACCACCAGCCACCCAGACCACCACACCACCACCAGCCACCCAGGCCACCACACCACCACCAGCCACCCAGGCCACCACACCACCACCAGCCACCCAGGCCACCACACCACCACCAGCCACCCAGACCACCACACCACCACCAGCCACCCAGACCACCACACCACCACCAGCCACCCAGGCCACCACCACCAGCCACCCAGGCCACCACCACCAGCCACCCAGACCACCACACCACCACCAGCCACCCAGACCACCACACCACCAAACAAGCAGTAACCCCCAGACACTCCGTTGGGTTACATAAATATCCTTCAGTTTACCAAACACAACGCACCATTCTCCTGCTCCTCCTCCGTAATAGACCAACGCATCCTCTCGCCTAATACGTCGTATTTATTACGTATTCAACCAATTAAAAATACGACATTTTTGTAAAATGTAATAAAAACTAATATTGACGTTTTCCATACATCGTCCCGGATAGGATAGTTGGGTTGAGTGGATTTGTATGTTTCTGGGTAGACAAATAACTGAATTATTTTAGTGTCAAGTGGAGAGAAGAGGATGAATTGACAGGGAGTTGGTGTCCGAACTTCACTTTTTCCTGACAACTTCTGCTTGCTATCTGACCAGTTGCAATATGGTTGACAGCCCAACCAGTCCTCTTAAAATAACGTTGCTTTTCGCTGGTATGCGCCGCTATGGCCAAAAATGGACGTAATTTGAAATGAAATCGGCTCACGAAAGTGACGTACTGTCCATGCCCACAGAAGTTTCAATAAGGAGTGAAGTGCTTAGAGCAACAACAACACAGCTAAAGTGTGTTTTCCTCCCCCTTGTTCCCTGTGTAGGTGAACTACCTGGCCTTTTCTAAGAAAAAAGTGCCGGGCTGTGGTGGGCCTGCGGGCCGCTCCAAGCAACAGCCTGGTGGACCAAGCTCTCACAAGTCAAGCCTCGCCTCGGGCCGGGCTTGGGGAGCAGAACTCCCAGAACCCCATCAAGCAAGTATGAGAGGCATGCTAGTGAACTGTGCCGAACATTGGTGGGGCCTGGCTCAGCCTGGATGGGGGCAGGTAGCTCGTCACACGGTTCACAGTATTCGTACAGAGGTAGTGCTAACGTGACTGTGCTTCCCAGCTGGGGATGACGGTGTAATATGACCGAAAAGGTTCACAGACAAAACCATGGTTAATTAACGTAATAACTCACTCCTTTTTAATTCTATCTACATGGTTTGGCGTTTCTTTATTTACTTTAAGAAGCATCATACGGAAAACTAATCAGAATGAATTATAGCTGTCCCGCTGAATGGTGCTCTACCCTCTCATGTCTACCTTGACCATGGGACCATGACCATGGGACCATGACCATGGGACCATGACCATGGAACCATGACCATGGGACCATGTCTTAACGCTGGTGTATACGACTTCTCTTCACTAGACGGGTTCCTGTCACGGCCGCGGTTACAAAGGGATTACAGGTATTCCAGTGAGGATCCTCGGGGCATGGATTTACATGCACAACACCTGTCTTTCTACCCATGGTATAGGTACATGTATGGACATCATAACAATCAACACGTCCGCTATACTGAGCGGCACTCGTGACAATCTTCCCTCAATGCTGCCCCTCACCAGGTGTGAGTTCGGAACGTCTCCAGTCTCTCTGATTCCACCACTACCACCTGCCCCAGATGCTTGCAGGGGCATCAAACCAGCCTACCTCGTGGGCACCGACGGATGGAAGACAATTGTTTATTTAGACTCAAACGATACGTACTTATTTGTCACTCCAAAAATACGATTCCTCATTCACACTATCGTCGGTGTGAGCTCAAGTCCTTGAACACTGCGATAGTTAGCGTCTCGACTACCCGCGGGTTTCATACCACCACCGACAGGAGGAATTTGATGATGAAGATGAGGGTACTGAAGCTTCTATAGTTCAGGGCACTGTCGGGTGTTCATAGCTGAATGTTGGCCATAATTGGCGGTCACGTGTTTGTGAATAATCGTAGCCACCTTCGCAGATATGTATGACCCGGATCCTTGTTCTCCACACACAATGTGGTGACATATCTGGCGTGACTTGGCAACTCTCGCAATTGTTACCAACAGCGTGTCTGAGTTCGCAGCGGCGGTAATAGTAGTGACAATTCGGGCGACATTACTCGACGACGGCCGCCCTTCAATACCACGTGGCTCTATCTTTGTCAGGAAAGAGAACAAACGTCTGCGTGTCATTGCTGACATGTTCATAATGATTTGCTTTTGTCTCTCACAGTTCACGTTGGCTGCTTGCTAACCTCAGTGAACCTCTCTACCAACACACCAGTTGCAGGGTAATATTGGCTTATCCTCTGTTTGGTATCTTCCCTGGGATTGTGCTACGTCACCGAGGTAAATAGATCCAGGTATCACAGCCAGGTACTGTGGTCAGGTGACAACCTTGCTGTCTAACTCGCTTTTGTACCAACTCGCTCCATCCAAGATGGCTGCTCCACCAGAGAGCTATGTACAAGTTCAATAAGGTTACCCCGACCTAGTAGCGTAACCCGATACCATACGGTGACCATCATACTAAATCTAAACTCCAAATAATAACAACTCTCCAGGGATAGTGAACCTAATGGCAGTCCAACCTGAATTAACACTGTATGTATTCTCTTCCACCTTCAGTGTACACGTCACTAGCATCTTGGGAGTGCAGTGTAGGTGAGACATACCAACCTTCTCACAGCTGGTCCACGCCCTCACTAATCAAGTTACGGGCTCACCATAGCCCGTGCTACTTGGAACTGTGTTCCAGGTAGCGAATCTTTAACAACAACAACATCACATTCAGCCATCTGGCACCAATGGAGGACACCAGGCTTTATCTCAGAGCTTTGTGAATCTGCAACTGGAATTAGAATGATAAACATTGCTAAGAAGCAGCCTAGTTCTAGACCATTAAAGGTATATGGCGAGTCTCCCGCTGCAATCAGGTAATGTCGTTCAAATCAAATAACGATAATTACCATTTGTTTATCCCAATATTCACGCTAGATATGTCATCTTAAATAGAAATATAAAAAAGTCATCCAATCACACTGTTAATTGGATAGTAGTCACAATGAAAATAAAACAGTTACAATATACTTCAAGGTGTACATAAACAAAGAATGTCGACACAATAGTAAATAAAAAACATTTTATTTATTAAATATATTAAATACTTTCAGAAGATATTCAACAAAGGCTTGATGGGGATATCGATCAATAAAACTCCAGGGAAGTAGACAAAAGCAGCGAAAAACGGCAATCAAGAAGACAGTGGAGGAGCCGAACGTCTTCCCAGCTGAGGAGTGACTGTGAACAGAGGTATGAGTTAGTAGGAAGGTTGAATGTCAGAACAAAGCAGGCAGGAGAATACTGGTTGTTGGGAGCTCCCACCTGCGTGTATGGCTACGACATTCTACACCACGGACGCCAGACATCAAATAAAGCTTCCCGAGGATGGCTGATATTGTGGATAGAATAAGATATATATATATATATTGTGAGGTAATGTGATCACGCCGATTGTGAGTGTCTCAGATGGGGACCCGGTGTTCGCACAGGTCGGAGCAACGAGTTGTTGGACAAAAAGAAGACAATGGTCAAGAATAAATAAGGGGTCCCGGTCGTGTTAGATGTTCTGCTAGGGGTTAACACTTGACACTGGCTGTTGGTCTGGTTGATACCTGCTTGATGGGGTTCTGGGAGTTGTTCTACTCCCCAAGCCCAGCCCGAGGCCAGGGCTTGGCCTAGAGTAGTAGGTCTTCTTGAGGTTATCTTGAGATGATTTCGGGACTTTTTAGTGTCCCCGCGGCCCGGTCCTCGAACAGGCCTCCATCCCCAGGAAGCAGCCCGTGACAGCTGACTAACTCCCAGGTACCTATTTTACTGCTATCTAACAGGGGCATAGGGTGAAAGAAACTCTGCCAATTGTTTCTCGCCGGCGCCTGGGATCGAACCCAGGACCACAGGATCACAAGTCCACAGGTCTAGAGTAGTTGGTTTAACCTTCGTCTTTCAGATCATTGCAACACTACCGCAATACCGTCCACGCACAGCTGGGTGTCTTGCCAATATTGACAAGGACGCCAAGAATGTGTTACCCGGGGTTCTCTCTCTAGGGCTGTGTGGCAGCTAGTGAGTAGTGGGATGGCAAGGACGCCAAGAATGTGTTACCCGGGGTTCTCTCTCTAGGGATGTGTGGCAGCTAGTGAGTAGTGGGCTGGCAAGGACGCCAAGAATGTGTTACCCGGGGTTCTCTCTCTAGGGATGTGTGGCAGCTAGTGAGTAGTGGGCTGGCAAGGACGCCAAGAATGTGTTACCCGGGGTTCTCTCTCTAGGGCTGTGTGGCAGCTAGTCAGTAGTGGGATGGCAAGGACGCCAAGAATGTGTTACCCCGGGGTTCTCTCTCTAGGGCTGTGTGGCAGCTAGTGAGTAGTGGGATGGGTATAAACAAGTGGAAAAACTTCAAAAAATGGATAAAAAAAATGGTAAAACCAATAACAATTAGGTTCCAAGGATGACCCAGGTGCCGCCCGCGTGACGGCTTCACTCCGAGGCGTGCACGCACTCTACGGCTCATACCTTTACGTCACACACCAAAAGTTATTTAATTGCTTAAAAGGCTGTTGGGGCATGTATACCCGGAGCCTTGGGGCATGTATACCCGGAGCCTTGGGGCATCGATACCCGGAGCCTTGGGGCATGTATACCCGGAGCCTTGGGGCATCGATACCCGGAGCCTTGGGGCATGTATACCCGGAGCCTTGGGGCATGTATACCCGGAGCCTTGGGGCATGTATACCCGGAGCCTTGGGGCATGTATACCCGGAGCCTTGGGGCATCGATACCCGGAGCCTTGGGGCATGTATACCCGGAGCCTTGGGGCATGTATACCCGGAGCCTTGGGGCATCGATACCCTGAGCCTTGAGGCATCGATACCCGGAGCCTTGGGGCATCGACACCCGGAGCCTTGGGGCATCGACACCCGGAGCCTTGGGGCATCGACACCCGGAGCCTTGGGGCATCGACACCCGGAGCCTTGGAACATCGATACCCGGAGCCTTGGAACATCGACCCCCGGAGTCTTGAGGCATCGATGATCGATCATTGGGCATCGATGCCCTCTCATATAAGTGATAAAAGAATGTGGTGGCAATACTTAGGGAAAGACTGAGTCGGCACCGAAATTCACTATTAACACAAATAGGGAGCTTCTATTACATTAATTAAGAGAGCGACTGAGCATAAGCTTCACCACAACATACACACAACAGGACTCGTTCCCACGGTCATGTTATGCTCAGTCTCGGACCTCTTGCTTGGTCACAATGTCAACTCGCTGAACACTTGTGAACACACCGATCACAGCTGCCCATGACACCCGTTCTCGCACTTTGTTACAGTCAATATTGACTTATTAAATACGTGCATATGTGACATACTAAACATACTAGTTTACCTTGAAAAGCTTCATGGAAAACACCGACCTTACCTAACCTTCTTAGTATGTTAAGATAAGCATCTTATTGCTTCATAATTACAATTATTACTTAACCTATTATAGGTATAGGTTATAATTACATTACAATTATTACTTAACCTATTATAGGTATAGGTTAAGTAATAATTGTAATTACGAAGCAATAAGATGCATATCTTAACATACTAAGGTTAGGTAAGGTCGGTGTTTTCTATGAAGCTTTTCAAGGTAAACTAGTATCTTTAGTATGTCACATATGCACATATTTAATAAGTCAATATTGACTGTACAAAAGTGCGAGAACGGGTTGGCCCATGACACTGACAATAACAAGGGACAATGATCGGGGTTGCAATTGTGTACTCATGTAATAATCAACACATGAAACACTCATAACAATCAATGTCATTAAATATGTATACAACTCTGGGACTCTATGAAATCACTCAAATCATCACGTCATTAATAATCACTGAAAGAGATTACACATCATTAAGATATACATAACAATTCCTGAAGTATTCGCTCAATGAGACAATATTAGATGATGGAATTAACTCGTCACTGAGACAGTAACTATAGCCATTGAACCAAACAAGTCACAGACAGTAACTAACCACTGAACCAAACACAAGTCTCTGAGATAAGTATTAAAGCAATGCTGTAACACTTACTAGACACTCAGTAAGTGCTGTAACACTTACTAGTCACTGAGACTCCAATAGTCACTGAATTGACCACATGTCACTGAGACAAATGATAACATAGGTTAGTTAGACCCATAATGTGTAGGTCTAAGATCCATCGGTCAGTGTTGCTGACACATGGAGCAACAATATGGGTCAGTGTTGCTGACACATGGAGCAGCAATATGGGTCAGTGTTGCTGACACAAGGAGCAACAATATGGGTCAGTGTTGCTGACACAAGGAGCAACAATATGGGTCAGTGTTGCTGACACAAGGAGCAACAATATGGGTCAGTGTTGCTGACACAAGGAGCAACAATATGGGTCAGTGTTGCTGACACATGGAGCAGCAATATGGGTCAGTGTTGCTGACACAAGGAGCAGCAATATGGGTCAGTGTTGCTGACACAAGGAGCAACAATATGGGTCAGTGTTGCTGACACAAGGAGCAACAATATGGGTCAGTGTTGCTGACACAAGGAGCAGCAATATGGGTCAGTGTTGCTGACACATGGAGCAACAATATGGGTCAGTGTTGCTGACACAAGGAGCAACAATATGGGTCAGTGTTGCTGACACAAGGAGCAGCAATATGGGTCAGTGTTGCTGACACATGGAGCAACAATATGGGTCAGTGTTGCTGACACAAGGAGCAACAATATGGGTCAGTGTTGCTGACACAAGGAGCAACAATATGGGTCAGTGTTGCTGACACAAGGAGCAGCAATATGGGTCAGTGTTGCTGACACATGGAGCAACAATATGGGTCAGTGTTGCTGACACAAGGAGCAACAATATGGGTCAGTGTTGCTGACACAAGGAGCAACAATATGGGTCAGTGTTGCTGACACAAGGAGCAACAATATGGGTCAGTGTTGCTGACACAGGGAGCAACAATATGGGTCAGTGTTGCTGACACAGGGAGCAGCAATATGGGTCAGTGTTGCTGACACATGGAGCAGCAATATGGGTCAGTGTTGCTGACACAAGGAGCAACAATATGGGTCAGTGTTGCTGACACAAGGAGCAACAATATGGGTCAGTGTTGCTGACACAAGGAGCAACAATATGGGTCAGTGTTGCTGACACAGGGAGCAGCAATATGGGTCAGTGTTGCTGACACAAGGAGCAACAATATGGGTCAGTGTTGCTGACACATGGAGCAGCAATATGGGTCAGTGTTGCTGACACAGGGAGCAGCAATATGGGTCAGTGTTGCTGACACAGGGAGCAACAATATGGGTCAGTGTTGCTGACACAGGGAGCAGCAATATGGGTCAGTGTTGCTGACACAAGGAGCAACAATATGGGTCAGTGTTGCTGACACAGGGAGCAGCAATATGGGTCAGTGTTGCTGACACATGGAGCAGCAATATGGGTCAGTGTTGCTGACACAAGGAGCAACAATATGGGTCAGTGTTGCTGACACAAGGAGCAGCAATATGGGTCAGTGTTGCTGACACAAGGAGCAACAATATGGGTCAGTGTTGCTGACACAAGGAGCAACAGACAACACTCAGAATTCGGAGAGAACATTAAGGAATCAATAAGAATACAACAAACAAGTTGTTTAACGAATATTAACACAAATGAGCTTATAATGAGGCGATTATGTGCTTAGTGAACTTACTGTTGAAATCATCAAATGTTTTTTTACTTAATTAATGCACCATGGAAGCTGTTTTATACCCCCCCCCCTATTATTTGCATAGCCTCTCTACCCGAGTGACGTCTGACCCAAGTGACGTCAGACCCAAGTGACGTCAGACCCAAGTGACGTCAGACCCAAGTGACGTCAGACCCAAGTGACGTCAGACCCAAGTGAAGTTAGACTTGCATCTCTTGCCAGAGGTCTGCGAGTTCTGTTATATCCCTAAAAAGGAGTTTCAGGTCTGAGTTTTTGCATCAAATTTAAAGTTTTATATATATGAAGAGGATGAGCAGGGGAAGAAGCGGTGTTCTCAGCGTGGCCTGGCACTTAAGATTCCTTGAACGAATCACTAACGGTGTTGTGATCTGCACTGGTTCAAAAGGAGCACTACAAAGCCTTAGTAAAAATCAAGTAGAAAAGCTTGCGATATTCGCTGAAATCAAGAGACCTATGAGAGTTCTAACCAATCAGGGGAGAGTCGTCATATTACTGTGGTTCCCCTCCCAGGTTGGCAACTGTGGGAATGAACGAGCAGATGTGCTGGCTGCTGAAGGCGCTGAAGGATGTGGATCCCCTCCCATGTTGGCAACTGTGGGAATGAACGAGCAGATGTGCTGGCTGCTGAAGGCGCTGAAGGATGTGGATCCCCTCCCATGTTGGCAACTGTGGGAATGAACGAGCAGATGTGCTGGCTGCTGAAGGCGCTGAAGGATGTGGATCCCCTCCCATGTTGGCAACTGTGGGAATGAACGAGCAGATGTGCTGGCTGCTGAAGGCGCTGAAGGATGTGGATCCCCTCCCATGTTGGCAACTGTGGGAATGAACGAGCAGATGTGCTGGCTGCTGAAGGCACTGAAGGATGTGGATCCCCTCCCATGTTGGCAACTGTGGGAATGAACGAGCAGATGTGCTGGCTGCTGAAGGCACTGAAGGAGACCATATTGAATACTTCTTACCCAAGACTTTTCTACAAATTAGAGGTGTCATCAGGAAAATATCACCATGACAAGGTTACCGAGGAATGGACGATAGAAGAACAAACCAATGAATCTGCACGATGGTACAATGTGGTTGCAGCTGGCCATCCCAATCATTATGGACGAAGAGGTGGTGGCCGTGAATCAGTAATAGCAAGCTTCCGTCTTGGATACAAATATCCATGGAGATTCGGGATGGAAACAACAGTGGAACAGCGGAGTTGCAGACTCTGTAGTGAGAGTGATGGACACCGCCTTGACCACTACCTGAGAGTGTGTGGACATTTAAGTCATTAGAAATATGTGTAGAATAATAAACCCCACATTGTTTGAGTTAGGAAAATACTATTTGTCACATACAGATACTGTTCTTAAGATTTTTCCCCAATTTGAACCCGCAAGATAACGAAAATTTTAGGGGCTGACAAATGTAAATCTTATTGTATGGACAAGTTGTTCACTTTATAGTGATAGTTATAGATAGTTAGGGAAGTCCCAGATATGTCTGCGTACAAGTGACAGGATGAACAACCCAGCGGGCTTTCTTCCTATTGGAGGGTGTTGTACATGCTGCTATGGCGGTGTGTCCACTCACAGGATGAGTGGCGCCGCCCAATACTGTCACTACAGCGGTGTGGCCACTCACAGGATGAGTGGCGCCGCCCAATACTGTCACTACAGGGGTGTGGCCACTCACAGGATGAGTGGCGCCGCCCAATACTGTCACTACAGCGGTGTGGCCACTCACAGGATGAGTGGCGCCGCCCAATACTGTCACTACAGCGGTGTGGCCACTCACAGGATGAGTGGCGCCGCCCAATACTGTCACTACAGCGGTGTGGCCACTCACAGGATGAGTGGCGCCGCCCAATAAACAAGTCCCTCGGGGCATAATTAAAAAAAATTAAAGAGGCAGAGCTAGGTGTGTGTGTGTGTGTAGCACGGATACTTGGGGGACGCCGCCCCCTGGAAGAGTTAAGACTGTTGAGCATTCCGAGCAGCTCCGAGCCAGCTACTGATCTCCAGGATGCAACCCGCTACAGCTTCCCAACATCCGGGTATGTATTTACTGCTATGTGAAGAGTGACATGTGAAAGCAAACGTGTTCCAATGCTTCTCTCCAACCGCGGGAATGGAACCCGGGACCATCCGCTTGTGACCCGACTGCACTGTCGTGTTTGTATTGCCTAATAACACTGTTTGTATTCTGAGGGCTAAGACCTTCCTCCCTCCCCACTCTCACAATTTTCTTCTGGTCCACCGCGAAAGACAAGTTTTCAAGTGGTTGGCGAAACTTGAGGACCACTGTCTTATTCCGGC